CTGTATGTTAGAGGTTAAAAAAAATTATATTCAAGGAGTGACTCTAGAGTTCTTATTTTTTACTTAAATTGAGGGTAGGTTTTAATTCATTTTCAAGTTGGTAAAAGACAAAGTACAGATTATAAAATCAAAAATGCTGAAGATATTTGATGTAAATATCTATAACTTTAAAGCATAAAAGCATTTAATCATAACATAGCAAAATGTTTATAACAGCTTAAGAAAGAAAGGACTTTAATAATTAAATATAAAATAATAAATTTAATTTAATTAAATTCAGCTAAAATTAATAATTAAAATATTAATAATTTTCAAGTTGAAAAAAAATTACTATCAAAAAATTATACAGAAAGCAGAAATAAAGGAATTTTTTTAATTCTGTTACGGAAAATATAAAACATTTTTTAAGCATTGCTACAGTAGACAGGCAATTTTCAAACTTAAATATGAAAGGAAAAGAGATTTAGAAAACAGAGTCATTAAACTCAATCAAATATTCAAAAAAAAATTGCAAATGAAAGCACACAATATTCTAAACAAAAAGGATAATAAAATGTTCAATATTTAACTATATACAAGAATTAAATACAATTCTTCCATAAAGTATTCAAGCAATCCTGTTCAGAAATTTTCATCTGCATTACTAAATACTAGTTTAAAATATTTTCATACACCTTTAATACAGTTATCTAAGATAATTAAGTACGTTAAAATACAAAACTAATTTCAATTAAAAAGATAATAGTATATTGTACATGACAAAAGCATGTAAAGTCAAATATTATCTTAATGATGTTCAGAATGAAGATTTTAACAATTATGTGACTGGAAAAAAAACTAGCTTTATTGAAGCTTAAATAAGAAAAATTAAAAATATAGAGAAGAGATGGGCAGGAGTAACATATGAATTTTTTTAAAATTTTCTTGTTATTAGAATGAATAAAAGAATAAATACATGCATATTTATTTATTTATAAAGAATTAAAAAAATAAATTTAATAAGAAAATAAGATTAATTAAATTTAATAAGATTAATTTAATAAGAAATTTACATATAAAATTATTAAAGTTTCATTAACTGTACTTCAGCTGCAAGTACATAAAAGCCATATAATGCTATAAAAATAAAAAAGGAGAGAAAAAAAAACATTTTTTAATGAGAAGAAAAACTACCAAAAATAATTAATTTTGTTTTAAAAATTCTTTTAAATTTGTTTTTATAATTTAAAAAAAATTAAAAAGCAAGTAAACAAAATATTTAAGTGATATCCATAAATTGGAGTGCTTTTTAATATTGTATTAATCTATCAAAATATATTAAAACATATTTTGTTTTGGCTATATTAATACAATATTAAAAAGCACTATAATTTAAGCACATTCATGTGTGCTGGCGATTAGTTTATATCACTTAATTAATTTGTTTTCTAGTTTTTTTACTATTATTTTTTATATGTGTTTTATAAATTTAATAAAAAGAGTTTTTTTCTTCAGTCTATTTTTCTTCTTGTATTTCTGAACAATTTAAGAAAAATAAAATAAAATATGAGATAATCAAATAAATGTGAAATTTCGTATTAGTTACATTTCAAAATACTACANTAAAAAAGTAGCATATTTCAATCTCAATATCTTTACACTAAAAAATTGTTAAAATAATTTAAAATGCTTCAATAAAGCCTTAAAAAATTCTCAAATTAAGCTGTATTATAGTCTTTTCCCAGACCATAACTTTTAATTATTTGTCATCAATGACAAGCATACACTCTGTTTTTTAATGGTGGACATTCTGATAAAGAAAAGAAAATGTTTTGATTATATCACATTTGCACAATCCATAACACATTTTACTTATAACTAATGAGTAAAATGACACTCAAATGAATATTTATAAAAATATGGGGGAAATATTTTTGTGCTTTATCGATTATAAAGTTAATCTAACACACTGTGAGATCAACTCAGATTTAATGTTATGTAAAAAAGAAAATTTAAGATGTATAATATGCATTTAAATATAAAATCATATATGGCATTGAATTCCTTTCATTTGAAGAAATTAAACGTATTCCTACTTATTGATTTCTTTAAAACACCATGAAAGTTTATTTAAGTTACAGACAAAACTAAACATAAGCTTTGTGAACCCCCTCTTAAAAAAAAACAAAAACATTTTGGGTTTCTTCAAAACACAAAGGGTCTAATTTTTATATTTTTTTAAGCTTCCTGTTATAACATTAATCAAAAAGGTACTTTATGTATTTTCATTTGTGAAATATTAATATCCAGTAACGTACAGCATATAAATTTGTAATTGTTTTATTAGAGTACCCATCTAATTTTATTCTTTCATTGTTAGTAATTACTAACTAATGGGCAATTCCATGATGCAAAGGACAACATAATTAAAAGAAAAACATTTAACAACAACCCTTCATTAACGAATCTCTTAGCTTTTATTTACTTAAGATATGAAATCAAAAAATTTTGTAGTAATAATAATCAAAATTTTAATATCTGTACATTATCTGTCAGTAATCTGTAACATTAGTCACAGAACTTTTTCTCGATTTGCCACTTTCTCTACATTCTCGTTGCCACTTTCTCTACTTTCAATATTTCTTGCTAATTTGAATTCTTTTTTTAAGTAAATTTAAAAAAATAATCTCATTATTGCTTATAAAAGGAGAATTAAGGGAGGAGAGAAGGAAGCATTTCAGATAATTAAAAAAAAGTGTTTGTCAATGAAAAGAATGCTTAAAAAATATGAAAACTTAGCAAAAACCTGTATCAGTCGATATAAAACTAACCTATTATGAAAAGGTTTTTTTTTTCTTTTTGCATTTTTAAAAAAAAAAAAATTCAGCAATTTTTTACGAAATTCTGTGTATTGTTTTAAATATGAATATAAAACTTTAAGTATCAATTCCCCCGGGTTAAGGACAATTATTCTTGCCCCCCCCCAGTTGCATTTAGCCTTGGAAACAAATAATATCATGCTGATATTAACATTCCATTTGTAACTAAAAAATGAAAGGCATCAGAATGAAAAATTTCTACTAAGTTATAATATCTATCTAATGAGGATTGTGCTGCTTAAATTCAAAGCAAAAGTTGTTGACTAGTTGAAAATATTTTGAAAGACCCAGTAAATTATAAGTCACACTTTTTCATGTTATTTCATATATTAATTATTAAACAACTATAAAATAATTTTAAAAATCATGTTCAAAAAAAATTATATGTATCGTATTGTAAAAAATGTATCATCAAAAAAATGTATCATATTTTTTAAAATTTAATAAAATTTCAAACATAATAAAAAGTGTAAAATTTCAGGCGTAATGCCATGTCCTAAAAAATAACAAAATTTAAAATCATACGAAATATAATAAAAAAACTATTTAACTATATATAATTTGAATACCATATTTTAAGTTCAGGGTTTTAAAAGTTTTTATTATCCCTCCACTCTGGTTCAGAAAGGTCTAATTTTTAAAATTAAGAGCTTTGGTATACAAGTAAAAACATATAAAAGCTGTATTTTTAATTCCATTAAAAAATAACAGTCAACAAATGATCAAAATAGAAAATTTTGTTTACAGTTAAAATTGATATTATTCTCTAAACAGTTTAAATTGACATTCTTTTACTCAAAACCTTTTTCTATATGCAATTCTAATGCTATATTGTAAATGTTTTCTTTCATCAAAAAATTACAGCCTTGAAATTTTTTTTTATGAACTTTTACTTTAGACATGGAATATAACAAGGGGTAAAAATATTGCCCCTTGGTTCAAAAATGTTCAGTATTACTGAAACACACAAAAGCAATAAATAAAACCAGGTATGATCAAAAATTCAAAGTGACTGTTTTTATTTTTCACTGCCAACATATTTAAAACATAAAATATTTTACAGAAAACTTTTGCATTAAGAGCCCAGGAACAATTCAACTTCAAAAATAACTATAACGAACAAAACTGCAAAATAATTATAATAATAAAACCTACAAAGTATTATAATTTCATGCAATAGAATCAAGCAGAATTCAAATTAAAAATAAATATTTGGATTGCAACTATTAAATAAACAAACACAGGAAATAACAAAAACTAGAATAACAAAATTAAGCATTATATTTTCAAAGAAGAAAAAAAAAGTAAACTTTATTTATGTTATTTCAAACAAAATATGAAAACTTTATCGAAATCTCTCTAAAAAATATTTTAAATTTAAAATAGTTTTTATTAAGACAACAATACTTTAAAATAATGCCTACAAATAAAATATAATACCTAAAAATGCAGATATTTATCATTCAATGACTATAACATCCCTGTTTGAGTCTCCTATAAAATAAATTTACAAAAGTTAAACATAATCTCCTAAATTTACAAAATGCAAATGGCTGATCACATTAAATGAATACATAAACACAATGGGACCCTTATAAATATTAGATATAGAATTACAACATTTAAAAATAATGTAAAAAAAAAATTTTTCTCACAAAAGTTAAAAGTAATTATTTCACTTTTTACAAGCAATATTTTTTTTAATTTGATTTCTAATTTAAATGCCAAAGAGTGTCATTTATAAAAAATGATTAAATATTTAAAATGGTCTAGGTAGAAATTTATTATCCTTAATATTATTTAATTAATTTCACATAAAATGCATCCAGAATTAATCTTGAATGACTAAAAAAGATTGTGATCAACTGAGGTGCAAGAACCAGGTAAGTCCTGATTTACAAACTTTAACTAAACTAAACAACTAGATAAAACAATAGGTTTCTTTAATCATACACTGAAAAGGGGTAGTTTAACATTTGTGTCCAGTTCCAGAACTAATCTAATATTCACAGTCAAAAATAAATTAAAAAATTCTTAGAAAAATTAGTGCCCTAAATTCAAAAATGTTTTGATTGAAAAACACAGCATAATACAAAGAGATTAATGACTGTAAATTAAAATCTTGGTTGATATATAGAACAGATAATAAAAATATGCACAGGTTAGATATGAATTACGACTTTTATATACATATTTACACACACACAGAGTGGAACCCTAATTTTAGGTTTTCCATCGGAAAAGCAGTAAAAAAAAAGCATGAAGTGCGATAATGCAAAATCACCTTAAAAATTAAATTAATATAACTTTTGACTGAGAAGAAAAAAATAGACATAAATTGAAAAATTAAAATAGACATAGATTGAGGAGCCTCTGTAGTTGGACAGCTGACATGGCTGATTTATCTTTTATAGTGATTACACACTATAAATACATATTTTAATTTTGTTGATGTTTAAAAGTTTTGGAAATTCTCCGCAGTTTTCCAGTTTTTTATGACTTTTTTAATTCCCTGTATTCTACAGGATTTCCAGAGGCTGTGGCAACCCTGATGAAGGTATTTTCATAAAAATTTTAGATACTAATTCATACTAGAATTGAAACTGTTGTTAAAACAAGATACAATAAATAATATTTTTATAATTACAATTCAACAAAATTGTGGAAGATTATTTATAAATATATAGTTTAAATACTATTTTCTCAGTGAGTGAGCCTTGTTATAAGCAGTTTAAAATTATTATTATTTTTTTAAATTGAGTTAAATTAACACATATATATTAAATTAATGATGCTTATCAATGCAGAAAGACTTTCTCTAAGACTATAATGAAAAATCAAAATCAAAAAGCTAATTAAGTTACTGATAAAAACCTGAAAAAGCTTAGTGGCATCTTTTGACACCAACACAATCTTTTATAGCCTGTAAACTGTGAAAACAATAATAGAAAGCAACCTTGCCTGCAGTATCTTAATCAAAGTGTGCCTTCATTGCATGGACTAAGCATAAAACTTTACTATCAAAATGTTACATCAAAATTTTAAGAATAAGATACAAAACAGTGTTTTACTTTTTTAAATGACCTAAAAGCCTATTCAGAAGCAATTATACATTTTTGTTCTAAAAATGAATATATTTTTAATGAAACTATACTCAATTGTATTTTAAAATAACGAGAGTAGTCCTTTGTGATAAAATTAAAATTGATTAAAAATATTTAAAAAACACAAAAAGTAAAGAAGCATTTCGGTATCACATTGAAACACCTTTATCAGAAGGACAATTTTCAGGGATTACAAAACAGAATAAATAAAAATATTAAAAAAAATTGGAAGGAATAAAATAAAATAAAAATATTAGTAAAGACTAAAAAATTAATGATTTACAAAATATTTGTACAGCATAATAATTGCTAGTTATATCTCTTTATTGATCAAAAATTTTTTTAAACTATAACCTCACAAATATGCAACATTGTATTAATACTGAGTGACATAAAAACGACTAAAAACTATTAAAAAAATTAAAAAAAAAACAATAATAATAAAAAGTGATACATGAACATTTTTCAAGTAAAAACTGTTCCCCCCTCCCAACAAGTAACATAATTTTTCTTCACATCATATAGCAATTAGGACAAATTATAAAACAATGTTTTCCAAATACCCCCAATATGCAGTAACAATCTGAGGACAAAATCCACAGAATGACCTGATATGTAGAAGAAAGCAATGTTTTACAGTTTCAGCAATCATCAGAACCATCTGTTGATGAATTATTTAAAATAAATCACGTATTTGGTCAGAATAAACATTGTGTTTTTTTTTTAAGTGGACTGCAACAATTCTACATTTGTTTTATTTTAATTCACTTTTCAAATTGTTGGTCATTTTTGGAGCTTTTAATAATAATTTTATTCATGTTTTTGGATCAAAAAATTGTCAAAATACTGATTAATATAATAAAACTGACTTCAATTAGGTTCCACATGTAAACACAACCATCTTCAGATCCAGAGACTGCGACAGAATCTTTGTCATTGAGGAAACTTCCTATCTTTTACCTCTCATTTTTGGCCTGTGTGCCTAATTAAAAATGATACTCATTTATAATAATGGAAAAGAACTTTAACTAAAAAAACCAAGTAAAAAAGTAATTTCTACGTAATAATTGGTACCACTATTAATCACAGTTGATCAAGTTAAGAGTTCCTACACCTAACATAGTTCATGAGTTGCAATAAGCAGCTTTGAAATTAGCAGGATTGCAACTCAAATCTAGAAAAAAAGTTCCCTGTATTTTTCTTGCATTATGCACAATATATTAAGATGAAACATAGACTCACTGTGCAAATGTGTGTGCTATATTAGGATAACTAATACTAGTTTTAATTGCAGGAAAAACTTAAGAAGTAAATAAGAAACAGTTCAACATACATAAAAAAAATAATAATAGAGCAAATGAAATAGTGTAGTATGGCTGAACTATCTTATATCTCATAGATTACTCTTTGAGAGGTCAACATTTTGTAAAAGAAGAAAATAGGAAATAAATATTCCCTGCACTTTTCCAGTTTATATGGAAAAATTCAAAATTCCCTGTTATTTTAGATTATTTCCCTGTATTTTCCCTGTGGAGCAGCAACCCTGATTAGGCAAAATTGGGATGAAATTTCCCCCAAATCTTGCTTTCCTCCATTGAAGATTTTCAGTTGCACTTCAATTCTGCTTTGTTATTTTAAATTATTATTTTTTTTTTGTGAAGCGTCTAATTTTATTTCTATTGACTTGATTGGCCCATTTAATTTAGATTCGAAAGACAGTATCTGTTGAAAGAGTTTCTTTGTTGAAATGGCAACAGTATTTAATACATTATGCTTAATTTTTTTAGCCGCCCTCTCCCCAACCAAGAGACACAACTATGCCAAAGTTGCATAAATTATTTATCAGCTAGCATCTTTTAATGAAATGCCAAGTATAGCTATCACACTTTTTGGGGATTCCACTAGATGAAGTTAATGACTATGAGGTAAATATTTGTTTAGTTTCTTTTTAGTAAACTTAAGCTCACTCTACTTAAATAAGCACAGAAAATGTTACTCTACTTAAATATAAGGATTTAGGATAAAATTATTTTAATTTTGCTTTAGCTGGATTTTAAATTTTAAGGAATATGGTGAATTTGTAACTAAAATGAAGAACTTTGTAGAACAGCACATTTTTAAAGAACAAATTATCCCTTTTGAGAGAATGTTCTTAAAAGAAATAATTAGAAAATATGGTTTTTCACTCTTTACAGAAATACAAGTTGACAATTAGTGCACTGAAGTTTTTTGCTATTGTGTTAGAAATCTATTTAAATGTGGAAGGGAGGAAAAAAATAGGTATGTGCAGTTTCTCAATTTTTACAAAAATATAAGCTGAAAATTGGTGTACGGAAGGGTTTGACTATAGAGTTAGAGCAAAAAAAAAAAAAAAAAAAAAAAAAAAAAAAAAAAAAAAAAAAAAAAAAAAAAAAANAAATCTTTTGGTAAGTTCAAAAATAGAAAGAAAGAAAAACTTACAAGATGTATACAGCATATATAAAATCTTGTTAATTCTTGATTGCAAGTTTACTTAAAATAAATTCTGCTACCATGATTGTTATTTTTCCTTCAATAAACATTTTTATTACGATACAGGCACTCCTGCTAAAGCTAGTATATTGGCAAGTTAAGGCTTAATAGTAGTATAATGATGTAAGTGTAACAGCTTTAAAATTGTTTCAGGTATTATGAAAGCTGTATATTCCACAAATATTTCATTTGTTTTGATAATATATTTTCATTTCTTTTTTTTATTACATAGTAATAAAAACCAAATAAAAAATGTTAATGCATTCCTTTAATTGACTATAGTTAATAAAGGTTAAAATGATTGCTAAAAACAGATAAGTATTCTTGATTTTTTACTTAAAAGAGCAAGGAGGGTTTGGTCTTTAACAATCCAATATCATAAACTGTCAAAAACTTTTTAAAATTGTTAAGAACTAATGATGATAGTTACAATGTAAGTTTTAGTAATATATTTATAATATTTATTAAAATACAGTTATACACTAATGAATAAACATATGCTAATATATAATAATATAACTAAATATATTAAATGAATAATTATGTCAATGCAGAAAGTGTAGTTTTGAGCATAAACAAAATTTCAGCTTATCTCCACATTCCTTTTATTATTTTATAAGAAAATTTTCTCTTCTAAAGAGTTTTTGAAATCTTTACGTTGAGTTATTATTTTAATCTTTATATTATTGAAATCAAAATGTTTTATTTCATTTTTATAATTTGCAGCATTTTGTTTTATCAACTGCACAATATTAATAAAAGTGGAATAAATCCAAATTATAACATTGGATCAGTTTTAAAACAGAATTGACAGAATCTGAAAAAAAAGCTGATAAAAAGTATAAGTTTTTTATGTTTTGTAATTAGTAATTTAACTTTTAAACTTAAGAGTTTCAAATCACCCTATTTTATTCTATGTAAAGGAATGATGACATAAATAATTGTTAGAACGTTTAAGGTATTTTTCANATTGATAGAATCAGAAAAAAAAGCTGATAAAAAGTATAAATTTTTTATGTTTTGTAATTAGTAATTTAACTTTTAAACTTAAGAGTTTCAAATCACCCTATTTTATTATATGTGAAGGAATGATGACATAAATAATTGTCAGAATGTTTAAGGTACTTTTCAATCATTAAAATGTGTTATTAAATGTAATTTAACAATTAAAGAGCTTTCAGTAAGCAGATCTTTAGTTAGCATATAGTGTTCATATATAAAGAAACATTTACATATCAAAAGGATACATTTTTTTCTGAAAAATTTACTTTTCAACGTAAGTTTAATCTGTACAAGAAAAGTAGTAACTGAATATTTAAATACATAAAATTACTTTCAATGAGCTAATTTTAGGTGAAAATAACAAACTTATATTAAATAAAGATATTCAGTTAATTAAGTTTAAAACAGTATTTTGATGTGTATGTTTTATCAATGGTAAAATCGTCAAAAACTTGCCAAGAAGTGAAATATAAGGAAACCTACTCAATATTTAAAGTAGTTTTAGAGTTAAAAGTTAGCAAAGTTGAAATAAATAATGATAATTACTCAGAACGCACTTCACCCCCGTCTTTATCTGTAAGTCGCAAAGTATTGTCTAAACAGCTAACAAGAACACAGGACCAACTTTTGTGAAGTTAACAATGTTGACTGAATCTAAAATATATGACAACACAATTTTAGATCATGTTAAAATTATTTAATGGAAATAATCACCTTAAAAAAGATCATAATATTTAATGGCCTGAGTAAAACATATGTAGTTATTAAATTTTTTTTTACAAACATAAATATATAGATTTATTAGGTACAATTAAAAATAATGAAACAATTTTTAGTCACAAAATCAGAAAAAATATTAATATAAGTGTTAATACAAGGGAGAAATAAAAGTGAAAAAATCAAAAAATACACAGTTAATGACTGTTTGCTTTATACTTAACTAGAAAATTATACAACATTTAAACTAATAGATTTTTTATGCTTTTCTGGAATAAAATTAAAATAATTAGTTCATTCTAACTCATGTGTATTCACACTTTGAAAAAACTATAAAAATATTCATAGGAAGAAAAAAAAAGAAGTTCTGAAGCTATTTATCATGAACTAGCTGAATACCCATTTTTTGTACAGAGTGAAATAAAGTAAGTCATTCCTTTATCAGTATTGAAACAGTTTATTGATTGAGTAAATTCAATTGATTAGTCATTATTTCAATTATTTTCTAAATAATGTTCTTATGCAGCTTTTTCAATGAAGCATTATGCAGGATTTTCAAGAAAAACATCTTTCATATGATGTATGATTTTTATTAAACCAGGCATAGAGGCATACATATGTTATTAGTAGGTCTTAGGAATTATGGTCTCTGGTTAGCAGTGGCAATCAACAAATTTTGAGTGATTATATTTTCAGCTTTTCAATTACGATCAATCATTTTTAGTAAAAAAATTATGTAAAAAAAAAGTTTTTCACTTGAATTACAATGTAGTTTATTTAATTCTCTTTACACTGACACACATTCCTCGAACTTGTAATTCTAAATTTTGTTATAATATCCTGTTAAAAAAATACAGGGTATTTGCTACATTTTTGATTTTCAAATTCATGACTTCTCATAACTTTCCATGACCAATTCCAATAATTTTTCAAGACTTAAAGAGGTTACTATTTTCTCCAACAAAAACACAAATATAAATTTAAAAAAGCATTATAATAACATTAATTGACATGATAGGTATAACCAAAACTGTTATACTCTGCATCTTCATATTTAAAGATTTTAAATTTAAAAAACAGAGTAAAGGAAGATTTGAAGCAATAAAATAGCTGAAAAAATACAGAAACATATGATTTTTTTTCTTCTGCAGAATTATATTCTAAAGATACTTTTCTTGTTCATTGGAAAGGAAAGAAACTCCTGGATTTTCTGTTCTCATTTCAAATAAAAAAATTCGCCATTGACTGGCTTGTTTCAGCTAGAATTTGAAATTGATATAATTAAAAAAAAAATAACAAAAATTCTGAAATCACAGAAGCTTAAAGGATAATTTGCTTTAGAAGTGCTGGCTCTTTTTTTCAATTTTTGAAAAAACACCATAATTTTTAAAAAACATGATAAAAACATTTTATATTTTAATAAAATATGACAGTGAGTGAGGATTTTGCAACAAATTCAGATGTTTGGAACACAATGATATTCGGAGCATATTTGAAAAAATTGATTTTTCGGCGACTTAAATCTATGACTTTTCTTAAAAAATAGTTAAAATCATGACAATTTTTGTTCAATATCGAAATTTATGACTTTCTATGATTTCTCATGACTCTCCAGGTGTGCAGATACCCTGTAAATAGGAATTTAAGAAGTCTGGTTGAAATCCATAAAAATAACTGCACAATTGCGATCAAAAAACCATATGGGTTTATAATTCCCCCATTTTTATTTATGTATTTATTCTCTTAATTTTTATTTATTTATTTTATTTTTATGACATGCTGTCGTAATATTTGTCACAATGATTACCAGACATGAGCTTCACAGTGGATAAGGTACCTCATCATACGCTTTAAAAAACAAAACAATTTTTTTTTCAAATAATGTATTTTTTGTACTAAAATCATAAATTAATCTTTTCTTTTATTCCTTAACCATCAATGTTTCCTGTTATGTTGTCTTTCTGGCCCGAGTTTTGTGGAACTAAATTTGCTTTGAAGAAGAACAGATACAGTTTGAAGATAATTTACAATATTAATAACTCCCGTGGTTCTTTCTACTATCTTTAAAAAGATTTATTATAATAAAATAAGGTGAAATCCATATTTTTGTCTCAGGAATGCATAGTACCTGCAACAGCATTTATTATTAAATATGTGTTTCAAGATTTACATATTTTCTTTTTCAAAATTTCATTTCTACTAAAAAAAATTCATATTTCTCAAAATACATTTGATACACACTCACTAATAAAAAAAAATGTTTTTAGAATAGATAATGAAGATAGAGTTCACGTAAAAGTTTTTCTTCAACTTTTAAAACTTGCATTGTTCGAAAATGATTCAATATTATAACAAACGTTTCGCGCTTAACTTGACTTTTTCAACTTTTTTTACTATTATTACCCTTGACTTAATACCTCTTCCCTTGGCCATGGGAGGTGTTCATCTGACAAGCTTCATTTGTTTTCACTATCAAGCTTTAAGTTAATTC